CTGATCTCAAAGTCCATGGCGTTGATTCTCTCAGAAACGTGGATGGACCAACCTTTAATATCTCTCCGGGGACTAATCCATAAGTTATGATGCTTGGAAGGTAAAAAAAAACTGTTAAAAGTTTATACGTTATGGTACAATAGCGATGCTTTTTGGTCAGCCTAAAAACAACTTTCCGTGACTGTAATTACAGATACATGGGGCTGAGAGGGAAAATGAGATACAGGTGGAATACAGGATGAGCTTGATGGCATTTTCTGGATTAGTCTTACTGATTCTTTTGCTGTATGTTTACCTGTACCAGTCTAAACTCAGAGTAGCTATTATTGCGAAGTTTCAAGCCTCACTCTGCCAGACATGTTAACTCCATTGGCTTCCATCTATCACGCCCTAAATAAACCAAATTGATCCACAAGCTTTGAAAGACACAAGACTTTACGAATAAGGATGTTACTTGTCAGATGTATCACAAGTCAATGAAACCACACTCATAAAGAAACTTTTTATATGCACAATTCGAAAGGAAATCATATTATTGAAATGGTAAAAGCCAAAAACACACGAAGGCTTTTTGTATATAAAGTTATAAACAGCATATCTTGAGCAAAGCATGGTTGTTGGCTCGCTGTTTCATCCTCTGGCCTAGAGCTCCGCAAGCCTCCTCGACAAATCATCCTCACTTTCTCCTCTGTCACAGTAGGAATAGCATGACCAGCAGGCTGAGGCAGTTATGATATTTGATTTGCTTAAACTGATAAGAACCATTCAAACGTTAACTTGAGCAGAGCAATTTGACTACTAAATTTAAAATTGTGATTGTATAAACAACACTATAATATGTTAAGTTTAACTTTAGATTTATTAAGCTGATAAGAACATCCAAACGTTAACCTTTTAATATGATGTATTACGTGTATAACTCTATAATATTCAATTTTTTCTTCTTCTAAACTGATAAGATCATCCAAACGTTAACTTGAGCAAACCGATCTTTACTATTCAACACCGTATATGAAAAATATATTTTCAAGATTCCGAGATAGCATCAACGAACAACGAACTTAGAAATATATAAACATTTTCAAACTATCCTTTCTCATTCTCATCAACATTTTTCTCAAACTCTGTAACAGTGTTGCACACTTGCACATATACACAATTGTAAATATCTCAATCTTGAGAAACTTAAAAAGAAGTGTGAATCCATGACTTGGCCACCATTTACGCCAACTAGATGACAAATCAAGTTCCACATCTTATCCCCACCAAGTTGCTGCCTGCAACATCATCAGTTTCAGACCACTTTTAAGCTACTCTGTTCACATGCAATGAACACAAAACAAACAATCTTGACCAATGTGCAAAAACCATGTAATCCATGCGCAGGGACTCAAGTGAGCTAGCTTGTTACATTTCTTCTAGAGGAATGGGGTTAAAACAACGAAACACAAAAGGTTAATGCACATACTTCACCCAAAGGTGAAACGAGTAGGACTTTCTGCAACACATGCAAATCAGCCATCAGATTGCTGAGGAACCACCTGCTTTGAATTGGTGCCAGAGCCGGACTTGTGCATCAGCAGATCTCCTCCTCAAGTTTCCAAGGCTAGTTGTATGATGGCATCAATGAAATCATCTGAAGAATTTTACACAAGGTTTCATATTCCAACACAATTACACAAAACGTATTGTATCACTGTAACCAGAAAACCCTAAAAAATCTGTCCTAATTACGGTATAAATCCCTGAAAAATAATTTCCGCTGCCGGGAATCGAACCCGGATTTCAAGGATGCGAACAAAGTTGTAACAACCCTGGTTAGTTCGCTAATTCTTGATTTAGACCAGTGTGCTACAGCGGATCTGTTGTTATATTGATAAGTAAAACATTATTTATTTATTAAATAAAACTTAAAATGGACTTTTTTAAGATTTGTTACACTAAATCCTATTATCTAATGTATCTGTAGAAATTAAATGAAAAAAAAATATAAAAGGAAAGATATTCCTACAACAATCCTACAGCAATAATTTTTTGCTTTAGAAAATAGGGTTCCTACAACCACTTTTCAATTTTTTTGACTTTAGCTTTAAAAACTACTTAAAGCATGATTGGTGATTTAAATGGTTGTAGATAGAAATTAAAGCTAAATTCATTACTTACAACCCAACCAATCACCCTCATTTTACAAAGATTTAAGACTAGACAATGTTGCAAAGACGCCCATAATATGCTGGCGGCAAACACAATTTACATTCAAGTTTCATATGTTTACATAGAAAAACTTAACATAATGGTAGTCCACAGTTGATGCTTCTTAATGGGATTGGTCCAAGGAGTTATCTTTCGACTTGGGGTATCTCTGTGGCTCTTGACCAGCCTCATGTGGAAGGATTTGTGTACGATAACCCGAGGAATGGTATCTCCATTGTTCCTCGGGTTCCAATGGCGAACTCGCTGATACAAGTAGTGGGTATTAGTGAGAAAGGTGCTTTTCTGGAGGCTGCTTCTAGTCATGTGATCCATTTGCATCGCCTATACGTTTTGTTTTCATCAGAGCCCCAGATTATCCTTTCTACGTTCCTGTGACAACTATATTCTGTGCTCAAGACCTTAACTATATTCTGTGCAAGAATAAGCTGAGCACAGAATATAACATTTCTGCATAAAAATGTAGAACTAAACTGTAAGAATAGGAATGTTACTCGTCAGGTGTATGATGTATCCTTGATTCCTTGTCAATGAAACAAAAAGGTGACTCGAACATAAACTTTTTAATGCACAATTCAAAGGGAAATTATATTATTGAAATGGTGAAAAACTGAACACAAAAGAAGGTTTTTATATCAAGTTATAAACAAAGCATAACTCAAGGTGAGATATACACAAATGCGCCAGTGTTTGCACATAAATAGCTGTAACATTCCGATAAGGAGGAACTTGTCCTAAGTGGCAGATAGTCCAAGCAAGTATGGTTTGTTGGTTCGCTGAATCAACCTCTGGCCTTGAGCTCTGCAAGCCTCCTGGACAAATCATCCTCATCGACTTTCTCCTCTGTCGCAGTAGGTATGGTATGACCAGCAGCCTGAGGTAGTCCAACAGAAACTTCAAGACCATAGTCATCTGCTACTTGCTGCATCAGGTTGTTAACATCGCCTTCAGGAGTGGACAATGATGTTGAACCAGCCATGGCGTTCTCCATGAACTCAGCTTGGACCTCCATGTTCACAAACTGCTTCTCAAATGAATCCATAGTCTCTGACATCTTCTGTAGATTGCCTGTTTGAAAAGAAACAGAAAACAGATAAGAACCCAATGAATCTACTTAAACTGTCTACTCGTGGGTCGTGCTATAGATTCTCCTCCCTTCATGCCACTTTCCTATTTTCCATAATACAAAACCTTTCTCTCTACCCAGAAACAACCCTGTAAGTCCACATTTGCTTAAATAACTAATGATTAGCAGCAATCAAAAGACAGAACCAAGACTCACATTTCGTCTGCAACAGACAGAAACCCAAATTGCACACAATACGACTCAATGAATCTACTTAAGACTTATCAGTTCGTGCTATAAATTCTCCTTCCCTCATGCTACTTTCTTCTTAAGAGAATAGCTATGTAATCGAGACTAAAAGATGCTATTTTCCTCCTGGGTTTCCATAAAGACAGAACCTTTCTCTCTACCCTTAAAGAATCATGCAATTCCACATTCACCTAAACCGTAACTAATGATTAGCAGCAAATCAACAGACAGAACCAACACTACAACCAAACACATTTTGTCTGCAGCAGACAGAACCCCAAATTGCATAAAACATAGCCAAAAAAACTCTACTTTGGTCTATTCGTGCTATACATTCTCCTTCCTTCATGCTACGTTCCTCATAAGAGAAGAACTATGCAATTAAGACGAAAGGATGCTACTTTCCTCTTGGGTTTCCATAAAAACAAAACCTTTCTCTCTACCCATAAACAATCACGCAAACCCACATCCACCTAAACCCTAATTTAACGATTAACAGCAAATCCTAATAACGAGCAAAATACCTGTGGCGAGGGAAGACTCGAGGGATTTGACGATGTTGGTCATGGATTTGGTGATGGTTGCCATCTTAGCCTGAGTGTCTAAGCGAGCAACAACAGCGTCCAAACGAGAAGCGAGACGGAGGTAGTTCATCTGCTCGCTGCGTTTGCGTATAGCGTTCTCGGCGTAGATCCGAGCTCCATCCATGTTTCCCTTCTCGATTGCTTTCTTCACCTTGAGTTTCTCTGCTTTCTCTTCCTTCTCGCACTTCCTTGACTGCCTTTGGAGAGACTTGGAGGTGAATTTGAGGTCGAATATTTGGTTCATTAACTTATCTGTGTTACCCATGTTGATCGATTCGCTCTACACCTCTATCGTAGAAATTTAATTAAGATCTATCGGATTGAATTGAAGGAATAGAGAATTAGGGTTTGCTTCGAATTTGGGGGAAAATATCTCAACGCGTTATGGACGAAGAAGAGAAGAAAGAAGAAGGAAACTAATTAAGTGGGGCCCTCAATTTTGGTTTTCCTAAACCAGATCGGATTTGGCCGGTTTAATGTGAACGTGATTGTCGGTTATGAACGGCGGTTACAGACACGCGCGCTTGAATAGAGTAAAAAGAAAGAGATACACGTGTCAGTAATGACTCAGCATCGCTCGAAGGATGAGTCATCATCTGCGTGCCAACTCATAATGTTGCATGTAATTTTTTTCAAACTCAATACAAATTTGGAAACCAAAGCTTTGTCTTTTGCCGTTTCTAGAAAAGTTTCTTGGACCTGACGCAATCAAGAAACCGAACCCAAACCCCCAATAAATTTGATGGTGTCATGGAGTTTTGACATTTTTAGTAGTGTACCGACTTAAAACCTTGAACCTCCTTTTATAATCCAGAAGCCGTAGAGAGAGCAAAAGTGAGAAACTTCAGCTACTGAGCGACGTTCACGAAGCAAAAACAAGGAATCTCGAAATGAATGCGAGCAATGGTGAGGAGCGAATCGTTCACGAAGTTGCTCTTGTGGTTCCTAAGAGGATTCGAGAAGAAGAAGAAGGAGACAGTATTGAAGTTTTGGTGATTGAACTAAAGAAGAGAGGGATGGTTGTTGATAGAGTCCTTGGTCTCGCTGATGAGTTTCTCAAGGTCGGTTTTTAAAAAAAGTGTGAGAGTCTCTTTGTTCAGTTCTTCCTCTTGTCTTGTCATGCCAATTACTGGTCTGGAAGTGGAAGTTGAAGAGTCCAAAGAGTAAATAACAAGCTGTTTGATAAACTTGCTAATTAGTATGTCTAATGGTATCTAGGATTCAACAGATTGATAGACGACTTATTACCTACCTCTAATTTAGTAAAATACTTTTTGCTATCATGTCAGGAGAGTAAGGCTTACAATTCAAATATTTATACAGGTAGCAGCACCTTCGGAGACCTTGGAGAGTGCAGCAGCAGAGCTTCATATACGTAAACCTACTCATCTTGGTATGTTTACTGGTTTCTTGTACTAATAGCTTAAATTGATCTAATGAACGTTGTAAGCATCACAGATCTTCTCTTGTCTTAAAATTTGATGTTTATCTCTCATTTTCAGGAATGGAACTTCCCTTTGAGATGCAAGGCTCTGATGCTTTCATTCAGCAACCTGATGGGTCTCTGTTCAGTTGGTTTGAACGTTTTCGTTGCTATCAACACCTTCTTTATGGAATTGTACGTTTTGACACTCTCCAACTAGTCTCTATAGTTATATTATGTCTCCCCTATTACATGCTTTCAATCGCTCAAGTCTGTTAGTTTACAGTGTTATTGATTCTTGAAAATACAGGTAAATTGTTATGGACATGACGTTACACTGAAACTTGACGGCAGAGAGCTTTGTTGGGCAGCAGGAGAATCATTAGTTAGAAGGTTGGAATCAGAGGGCGTCATTAAACAAATGTTTCCTTTGCATGGTAAAAGCCATTTAATATATCTTTGGTTACAAGCAGTCCAAACTCTAGAATTGTTGAAAATTCTCCTGAGAAAACATTTGTTCGTAGATGAACTCAAGAGGAAAGAACTTCTCAAAACTTGGGCGTTAAACTGGTGGAACTTAACAAACCAACCAATTGATCAGATATACTCTTACTTCGGTGCAAAGGTAGGCACATAGAGAAACCTAAAATTGCTCTACAGATAGCTTTTTTTTTATGAAACTAATTAGATAGAAACATCACAGATTGGAGTCTACTTTTCCTTCTTGGGAATGTATACGCAGTGGTTACTATTTCCAGCCTTGCTCGGTTTCATAGTGCAGATGGTTGATTTTGGGTAAGTTCTGAGTTCTGTTACAAGCTCTTTAAGTATATACTAAATACTAAACATGCAGGCTCATCCATTTTGTTTCAGGTCCTTGCAGTATCTTGTTCTCCCAAGTTTCTTTGTCAGTACAACACTCTGGGCTGCCTTGTTTCTTCAGTTCTGGAAACGTAAAAACTCTGCTATGTTAGCTAGGTATGATTCCCCTACACAGATAACTTTTGGAACAGTCTAGATTCTCAACCTATGTGTTCTGTTTTCTTAGATGGCAGATAAACTGTTCTGTTGGTCCCAGTCAGAGATTTCTTGGAATGGAATGGAGCTCTCTTCCCTTTCCAAAGGAGCTTACAAAGAATCTAGGAGATGAGAAGTTCAAAGAGAAGGAACCATATCAAAGATATGAATGGTTTGCTTATCGCAAGAGGTTTAGGAATGATGTTCTTGTTATCATAGGCATTATCTGTCTCCAGCTTCCATTTGAGCTTGCGTATGCTCATACTTACGAGATGATCACATCCAACATAATCAAGTGAGACCTTAATCATTTAGTTCTTTACCAGTCCTATGTGTTAGCAATTTTGTTAAGACCATGACAATTTTTCTATGATGGTTTCAGGTTTGTGTTGATGGCTATCTACCTTTTAATCATTCAGTACCTCACAAGGTTGGGAAGTAAAGTGGCTGTCAAGCTGATAAATCGAGAGGTCAACGAGAGTGTTGAGTATCGCGCTAACAGCTTGATTTACAAAGTAAGAGATAAGATTGTTTACAAGGTTCTTTTCGTCTACTCATAGTCCTATGTGTCTAACCATTGCTATGTTGCAGGTTTTTGGGCTCTATTTTATGCAGACATACATTGGGATCTTCTACCATGTTCTGTTACACCGCAACTTCGTGACACTTCGACAAGTATTGCTCCAACGGTTAATAATCTCACAGGTAATAAGAAGATGCCCCTCCGCTACATACTCTACTCTGAAAATGTTGATACTGACATGTGTTTGGGACTCAACTTTCTTCAGGTTTTCTGGACCTTTATGGATGGTTCTCTGCCTTACCTTAAGTACAGCTACAGAAAGTTTAGAGCTAGGTACGCCCCTTTATTTCATTCATGCACACAGTGTCAGGAATCTTCAGCAATGTCAAAACTGCTTTCTTTTTTTTACAGGAAGAAGAAGAGAAGTGAAGGTGGAGAATCAATGGGAAAAATACAAATAGCCTCAAGAGTTGAAAAAGAATATCCCAAGCCTATATATTCAGCAAGCATTGGTGTAGAACTTGAAGATGGACTATTTGATGGTACTTGAAAGTTATCTAGTGTAATTGATTATGTTTAAGATGTAGCTTAAAATGTGAAATTTCATTGTTGCCTTGTGCAGATTCACTCAAACTGGCCTTGCAGTTTGGAATGATCATGATGTTTGCTTGTGCCTTCCCTCTTGCTTTTACCCTTGCTGCAGTGGTAAGTTACAATTAACATGTTGTCAATCAATTTTAGATTTAGCTTTTAGATTTTTTTTGTTGAGTATATGTTGGTGTACAGTGTAATATAATGGACATAAGAACAACTGCTTTAAAGCTAGTGGTCACATTGCAAAGACCTTCTCCTCGTTCTGCAGCAACAATTGGAGCTTGGTTAAACATATGGCAGGTGACTTGAATAGCAAGAAAACCGAGCTTTATCATGTACTTACTGTTTTTTAGTGATTTATTTTTTGTGTGTTTCAGTTTCTAGTAGTAACGTCCATATGCACAAACTCGGCGCTCTTGGTATGCTTATACGACAAAGAAAGAAAATGGAAGATGGAACCAGGGCTGGCTGCAATTCTCATCATGGAACATATACTCTTGCTTCTGAAATTTGGACTCTCTCGTCTTGTCCCTGAAGAACCTGCTTGGGTTAGAGCCAATCGTTTGAAGAATGTGACACAAGCACAAGACATGTACAGTAAACAGCTCTTGAGAAGCAGTGAGTCTGCCTCCACGGTAAAATTTGAACAAGAACAAAAACAACAAGAAGAACTGAAGCAATCTTGAGGATATATAGAACCAAAGAACATCATCAAAAGGCTTTTTTTTTTTATGGGACAGTGTGATCTTTTGTTTGCGTCCTTTTTTTACATAAACATGTAATCTCTATAATATTATTTGAGAAGTCAATTTTCTATAATATTATTTGAGAAGTCAATTTCCTACGTGTCACGCTCACGTTAACTCTCGCGATGGTTGATTACATAGATACCCTTAATGAATTGTTAGATTTAAGATTATTATAAATTTTTTATTTAGTTTTTTTTTTACCTTTTTCCAAATAACATATATAATAAAAAGGAAATATTTCTAAAATTTTAAAACGAAAATATATGTATATAATATGATTTTATTAAAAAGAAAAGTTCACAAAATAGTAATACCCTAATTAATATATATTTTTAAATAACATAAAATATGTTTTCAAAATAACAAAAATATATATGTTCATGAACATTCAAAAATTTATCAGTTACACTTTATTTTCTAATATTTTTCAGAAATCAACATATAATTTGATAAATATTATGAAAATACATGTATATATAATCAATAATAAAACTGATTTGATTTGACTAAACTAAAATAAAGAGTAAATAAATATTATGAAGTACATGTATATATAAGCGATAAACAAAACTAATTTGATTTAACTTAACTAAAATAAAAAGTAATTATACTTCAATTTTAATTTAAAAACTAGATCTTGACCCGCACACCGGCGCGGGTTTAACTTAATTTGAGAAAATGTAATAAATTCAGAACTCATCGATTATTACTGTGTTTAAGATATTGTGATCCACGTTGTATGTGAACTATCATATTGAATATAATAGGACTGGGTTGTGATTTTCGGTTCAGCTTTTATTAGGTTCTTTACGTTCTTAGTTTTTTTAGTTCTAGAAACATAGAAATTGTTTGTTTATCTATATAAATTTATTTGTGTCCGGTTCAATTTTTCGAATCAAAAAATTCGACCCGAAATTCAAACCGAAATAAAAATACCCGGAAATCCGACCCGTAATCCGACCCGAATTATTGTTAAAAACGAATATTCTTAAATATTGTTAGTGACTAAAATTAATTATATTTAAGATTTTAAATAAATAGCAAATCTTTGTAACAATAAATACCAGATCTTATTAAATATTGATATCTATGTTTCCAAACTTACTTATTTTAAATACTGCTATCCATGTTTCCAAACAAAAGGTTAAAGTACTTCTACTTTAATAAGATAGATATATTTAACTCAATATACTCACAAAATGAATGACTCGACTGATCTAATTTATATCCAAAATTAAACATCTAACTACAATAAGAAAATATAATTATATAATAGTAATAATAATAATATTAATAATAATAAACTATTTAATTTTATATATATAAATTAGAGGTTGACTCAAAGCATATTAAAAAGAAAAAGAAAATATTAACCAATAACAATTTAATTCTTATGTAGAAGTTATATATATGCATGAGACTTCAAATATATTATCACTATATTCATTTATGTAATTTTGAATCAAACACTTCAGCTTATTATTTATTTTATTTTAAGCACAATATATATTAAGTTATACATAATTTAACTATAATATATTTACATATCTAAGAATATATTTACATATCTAAGACAATAACCAACCAAAATGAAAATAAGAAAATTAATCAAAGTTTTATTATTTTTAGAATAAAAAATATTATAGATTAATTCGAAAAGTAGATATTATCCACCAAATTGATAACCAAACAGACTATTGATCCAAACATATAATTAAACCGAAAATTATATATCAAAATTCATATGTATAATTAGAATAATATAATATTTATTATTATAAATTATACATATAAATTTCTTTAAAAACTAAAACTAAATATTAATCAATTATTATAAAATTTTAGTTTTATGAATATTTATACCCGTCCCGTGCATGAGCACGGGAAAATCACCTAGTGATATCTTTATAGACAGATCTATCTCCTGTTTTGTCTGTAAATACGTTGAACTGTGAGGAAATCAGTTTTAACATACACGTTGTGGTTGAACTCTAGAGAAGAATGGTCTCCTAATATATTCAATGTTTATGTTTTTCCATTATCAACAAACAAAATGTTGTCCTGTAATTTTCTATCCTTCAGAAAAAAAAAATCATTAACCAAATCCAATGTAGAATTTTAAATCACTAATAAATGTATTTAACTCATAAAATTCTCAAAAAAAAAAAAAAAATCAAAACAAAACTCAATAATCATGAGTTACTAAAGCAGAATGCAAAATGAATTCGGAATCATCATTAGAATCATGACATTCCTGGAGGGTAAACACATTCTCAGACCACTCTATGAATCCATAAACCGTCTTCTGATCCCAAATCCCAATTAAAATCTGTGCACACCAAATCTCAGTTTCACATTCCTCAGCATAACTAGTCTTCCACCAAACTATAACTCTCTTGTCTTGGCCAGACTTCGTCACGTAAATAAGATCATTAGAGGATAATATTGCTCCAAGTCCCTGAACTGTAGTCCACCAAGATAAGCCACCGCAACGTAGTTCACCATCGCGAATCACAAACCACACCTTTTTCTCTAACTCTACCATGGACAGCCTGGTGGAACTGAAAGAATTTGAATCTAGGAAGCAAGTATTAGAACTGTAATAGCCTTTTTGACTTTTGAGATTGGGTAGATGGAATGTTTTGGCACTTGTGGGCTCCCAAGTTAGTGTATTTGGGTCGTAAACCTCTCTATAGTTGTCGTCTTTGGTAGAGTACTTGCGTTTGCTGGAGCCTCCAGTCACATATATCTTACCGTCCATCACCTTAACGACTGCTTCTCTTCTAGAAAGACGCATGTTGGGGAGTTCACGCCATTGATGAGTTTTAAAATCGATTAGAAACACTCTTTTACTTGTTTCCTCTCTTCCATTCACAACGAGTTCACCTCCGACTACGTAAGTCTCAGAGCCAGTTGAGACAACACTAGAGGAGTTGAGATGTTTGTAGGGAAACGAAGAGGTTGGTATCAACTCACGTTGGGAAAGTATGAACCACCTAGGGTTAGGGTTGAGGTTTAAGCAGACGTGGAGGTACTTCTCGGGTCTTCCGATGAGTGATCGTGCGGCCTCGAGACCAGGCGAAGCCAGGAGTGAACGGAAGCTCTTGGAGACAAGAGATAGAATTGGATAACTGGTTCGAGGGATCCTAGCCAGAGTGTTGAAAACGATGTCGTGCGGTAACGACAAAAACGACAGAGGAGGAGACTCTGGTGATGATGATGATGACTTCTTCTTCTTCATCCTGTTTTGGTTTTCTTCCAACGACATCTCTTTGGAGAGGTTTGGTTTTAATTAGGCTTTTTGTACTTTGCTCTAATTTACCATCAACTTTTAATATGTACATAGGGGTTACTGGCTTTGGTAGGGTTAATAGATTTTGTTAATCTCTAAGCTTTACTTCTATTTTTCTTCTAGGAAAACCTCATAAATAAAAACCGGAAATTATATTTTTTAAAAAAAAAGATATTGTAAAAAAAGCTATGGTTACAAGTTATTTTTTTTTGGGGGTAAAAATTACAAGTTGTTATATTGTAGCAACCGCATAAATAAAAGTAGTATTTATTCATGGTTTTCTCCTTCGGTGTCTAAGTTGAATCTCTTTTTAAATCGTGTGGAATGAGGTAGGAGTTCAGTGGTGCATGTATATGTTGAAATAATTAACATGGCGGAGATGGTATGTATAGATTTTAAGGACAAACATATCGCCGATTAAAATTTGCGGTGGTTTAACCCACGGCGATAATGTCAGCAGTCATGTCTCGTAAGCTTATTTCTAAGGCCATGCACGTACGTACGTGATCACTAACCCAGCGCGATACACGTACGTTGACGTCCAGATATATAAAATGGCGGGTGTTGTTTTTGATTAATTTATACGTTGATATATATTTTTCTTTTTGGTGCAACACTACGTTTTATTTATTTATTTAAAACTTATACGTTGCTATACGATATTTGGAAAATCTGATGCGTAGTAAGTAAAAGAAAATGATTAGAATATACCTAAATTTTTTTTGTTACAAATATAGACCTTAACAATTAAAATGATAAAAATAACAGTATTTTATTAAATATACATTTATATCATTGGGTTAATTAATCCTAAACTTTTTTGTTTAGAGTTGAGGAGTGGGGTTTTGGAGATAGGGGATTCAATTTTTTTTTTTTTTTAAAACTTCAAATTTTCAAAATAAAAAGTACTATTTTTGTCATTTTAATTTTTGAGATCTATTTTTGTGATAAAAACTTAAAAATGGCTATTTGAGAGAATTGTCTCGTTAATAATGGAAACTGAATTATTTTTAGTTCAATAAACTATGCTAGTTAATGCGTAAACAACTCTAATGCAACATGGATGTTGGTTATGCAAGTTGGTTTTTAATTTATAAAAAATCAAATCGTGCTGTAGACAATAATAGATCATATTTAATTAAACTAGAGACTTTCTCAGCGCTACGCGCGGATACATGTATAAAGAATTTGGTTAGGATCTTATTTACCAATGATAATTGTTACATGATCTGAAGTATGTATATTAATTTAACAATAGATAAGGGGTAGTATCGAACCACTGACTGCAACTGGTGCAAGTTATAATATATGGCAACAGTGTAATTAAAATATTGAGTTGACTACTTTAATTCTTATTCTTGCAGGTAGTAGAGAATTCTTTGGCTGCGGGTAGGGTAGGCACAGTGGTGTAGCGGACTGCGAACACAACTAAATTTATTAAACGGTACCTGCTACGGTGGAGTCGGGGATTGCAGAGCTGCAGTGGGGTTGAAGGAGGCGTCGGGTTAACCTGCTTCACATGAGAGTGTCTGGCGATTTTCGCTAGCGAGCACATGCTTATTACATACGCGTAATTGATGCTAATTGCCTTAAACGTAGTCTGCTGAATATGCGTGTTATTTTCATTCTCAATCTAATGAGGTCGTCTCTCTTTTATATTTTAGAGAAATTGGTGGAATTGTCCCTAAATACACCTCATATTTGCCATCTAACCTTCCAAAATAGAAACTATTTTGTCTGACCATTATACCCCTATCTCATTCTCTCTCTTTTCTCTTCCATATCTTCTAATCTCTTTATCTCTCACACATGACATATTTATGCTTTCATTTTTTCATCATAAATCTCTATTTTTTACTCTG